ATATAATTGTAGACCCAGAATAAGAGAAAAGAGAGGATGTAATTAGAGAAATTTTGGCCAAACCTAATGACAGACATCAATCCACAGACTGGTAAATCTCAAGCATGATAACTATAAATAAAACCACACCAAGACACATCATAGTCAAATTGTTTACAATTAAAGACAGAGAAAATCTTATAAGGAGCCAAAGGGGAAAAAAAGACATATTACCTTCAAAGGTACAACAATAAGACTGATGGCTTACCTTTTTGGGTTTTGTTGTTGTTGTTGTTTGGTTTTTTTTTTTTGGTGGGGGTGGGGAAATCAGAGTTTTACTCTTGTCACCTGGAATGGCATGACCTTGGCTCACTGCAACTTCCGCCTCCCGGGTTCAAGCAATTCTCCTGCCTCAGCCTCCCAAGTAGCTGGGATTACAGGTGCCCACCACCACACCTGGCTAATTTTTGTATTTTTAGTAGAGACCAGATTTCAGCATGTTGGCCAGGCTGGTCTTGAACTCCTGAGCTCAGGTGAGCCACCTGCCTTGGTCTCCCAAAGTGCTGGGATTACAGGTGTGAGCTACCATGCCCAGCCTGATGGCTTACCTTTTAATAGATGCTAAGGCATCCAGAAAATAAAAGAATGACATTTTTAGTTTATTGAAAGAAATACTGCTAACCCAGAATTCTATACTCAGTGAAAAAAGCATTCAAAACTTAACATTAAATAAGGAAGTTTGCAGAAAACAAACTAACTGAAGGTATTTACTGTCATAAATAAGAAGTGATCTATAAGAAACACTAAATGGGCCAGGCACAGTGGCTCATGCCTGTAATCCCAGCACCTTGAGAAGCTGAGGAGGGCAAATCAAGAGGTCAGGAGATTGAGACCATCCTGGCTAACACAATGAAACCCAATCTCTACTAAAAATACAAAAAAAAAGTAGCTGGGCATGTTGGCATACACCTGTAGTCTCAGCTACTCTGGAGGCTAAGGCAGGAGAATCACTTGAACCTGGGAGGCCGAGGTTGCAATGAGCCGAGATCATGCCATCGCACTTACGCCTGGGTGACAAGAGGACAACTCCATCACACACACAAAAATAAACACTAAATGGAATTATTCAGGTTGATGGAAAATGATCTCATATTAGAAGCATGGAACCACAAGAAGGAATAAAAAGCACTAAGACAGATCACTATGTGGGAAAATAGAAATAAATACTGGCAATTAATAATGACTATAATAAAAATATTTTATGACATTTATAACATATGTAAAAGTAAATACATAATAAAAAAACATACAGTAGATTGGGGTTGTTAAATGAAGGTAAACTATCATAAGATTTTTAATTTTGGTGAGAAGTTTTAAAGGTATTAAAGTAAACTATAATAGGCCAGGCACAGTGGCTCGTGCCCGTAATCCCAGCACTTTGGGAGGCTGATGCAGGTGGATCACCTGAGGTCAGGAGTTCGAGACCAGCCTGACCAATATGGTGAAACCATGTCTTTAAAAAAAAAATTAAAAAAATACAAAAATCAGTTGGGCATGGTGTCAGATCCCTGTAATCCCAACTACTAGCAAGGCTGAGGCAGGAGAGTTGCTTGAACCCAGAGGGTGGAGGCTGTGGTGAGCCAAGATCACGTAATTGCACTCCAGTCTGGGCAACAAGAGCAAAACTCCGTCTCAAAAAAAGAGAAATTAGGCTGGGCTCGGTGGCTCATGCCTGTCATTCCAGCACTTTAAAAGACAAAGACAGGCAGATCACCTTAGGTCGGGAGGTCAAGACCAGTCTGGATGACATGGAGAAATCCCATTTCTACTAAAAATACAAAATTAGCCAGGTGTGGTGGCACATGCCTGTAATCCTAGCTACTTGGGAGGCTGAGGCAGGAGAATTGTTTGAACCTGGAAGGTGGAGGTTGCAGTTGCAGCAATCCAAGACTGCGCCATTACACTCCAGCTGAGACAACAAGAGTGAAACTCCATCTCAAAAAGAGGAAAAAAGAAATTGCCTCACTAGATTAACAGGTACTAACTGGCAAGTCCAAACTTTGCAAGGTGGGCCAACAGACTGCGATCAGGAAAGAGTCAATGTTGAAGTTCAAGTCCAAAGTATGTCTGTTGGCAGAATTTTTCTTTGCTTGCAGGAGGTCAGTCTTTTGGTCTCTTCAGATGTTCAATTTATTGGATGAGGCCCACCCATATTATGAAACGTAATCTGCTTTATTCAAAGCCCACCAATTGGCTGGTCAAGGTGGCTCACACCTGTAATCCCAGCATTTTGGAAGGCTGAGGTGGGTGGATCACCAGAGGTCAGGACTTTGAGACCAGCCAGGCCAACATGGTGATACCCTGGCTCTACTAAAAACAAAAAAAATTAGCCAGGCATGTGGCACAAACCTGCAATCCCAGCTACTTAGGAGGCTGAGGCTGGAGAATCGCTTGAACCTGGAGGCAGAGGCTGCAGTGAGTGGAGATCGCACCACTGCACTGCAGCCTGGGCAACATGAGCAAAACTCTGTCTCAAAAACAAACAAACAAAAAACCCCCACGAATCTAAATGTTAATCTCATCTAAAAACACCCTCACAGAAACATCCAGCATAATGTTTAACCAATTATCTGGGCAACACGGTCAAGCTGAGTTAACACATAAAATTAATCATCACAGCCAGGCATGGTGGCTCCTATAATCCTAGCACTTTAAGGGGGCCGAGGTGGACAGATTATGAGGTCAGGAGTTCGAGACCAGCCTGGCCAACATGTTAAAACCCCCATATCTACCAAAAATACAAAAAATTTAGCCAGGTGTGGTGGCAGGCGCCTGTAACCCCAGCTACTCGGGAGGCTGAGGAAGGAAAATTGCTTGAACCCGGGAGGTGGAGGTTGCAATGAGATAAGATAGCGCCATTGCACTCCAGCCTGGGTGACAGAAAGACTCCATATCGAAAAAAAAAAAATTAATCATTATAAGGACAAAGAACAGAGGAGAAAAACCACAATAAGTAGCAGCATAGTGGACTTAAATCTCTACTAAAAATAGAAAAATTAGCTGGGCATGGTGGCACATGCCTGTAGTCCCAGCTACTTGGGAGGCTGAGGCAGGAGAATCACTTGAACCTGGGAGGCAGAGGTTGCAGTGAGCCAAGATCACGCCACTGCACTCCAGCCTGGGCTGGAACTGTGAGTTCAAGACCAGCCTGACCAACATGGAGAAACTCAGTTTCTGCTAAAAATACAAAATTAGCTGGGCATGGTGACACAGGTCTGTAATGCTAGCTACTCTGGAGGCTGAGGCAGGAGAATCACTTGAACCTGGGAGGCAGAGTTTGCGGTGAGCAGAGATTGTGCCATTGCACTCCAGCCTGGGCAATAAGAGCAAAACTCTCTCTAAATAAATAAATAAACGTGATTTGGGAAATGCAAACCTCAGAGGAAAATGAAAGCTATAAATTGGTCTAACATACAGTAAATAACAAAATAAAGATGGTGTACAACAGAATGTAAACTTGGATAGAAAAGCTTTTCATATTTTGTGGCTTTCTTAAATATTGCTCTTATTATAAGCAGGTAAATTAGTGGCTCCCTTTTCTCCTATCAACAAGAGTACCGTGTATGATCAAACATCTCTCTATACACATTGACAAGATAATCACAAGTCTTAAAATGAAAAATTGTAATCATGTTAGACCAGGCAATACGTGAAATTCCACGAGGTTAACTCTGTTATTAATCAGGAGCATGGAGCTCATATGCTATGTGTGAGCTTATGATGAGACACGTTTCAAAAATAAACTAGAATTTTCCACCTTAGTTTTATAATTTGTTCCATTAAGTCCTGCTTGCCACTTAATTCTGGTTAAAGATATAATATGTTCCTCTAGATCCTTGACATCCTATTTCAGGGACATTATCTGGGATGACTATTGAACATTATTTACTTTGTAGCTTTTTAGTTCAGACTTCAATTTTTGCAATGAAATTTCTTTTTTTCTCTTATCAACAGCAATTCAAAGGAGCAATGAAATTTCTTTTATGATGTACTAGTCCGTTTTCACACTGCAGATAGACATACCCAAGACTGAGTAATTTATAAAGAAAAAGAGATTTAAGGCCGGGCGCGGTGGCTCAAGCCTGTAATCCCAGCACTTTGGGAGGCAGAGGCAGGTGGATCACGAGGTCAAGAGATCGAGACCATCCTGGTCAACATGGTGAAACCCCGTCTCTACTAAAAATACAAAAAATTAGCTGGGCATGGTGGCGCGTGCCTGTAATCCCAGCTACTCAGGAGGCTGAGGCAGGAGAATTGCCTGAACCCAGGAGGCGGAGGTTGCGGTGAGCCGAGATCGCGCCATTGCACTCCAGCCTGGGTAACAAGAGCGAAACTCTGTCTCAAAAAAAAAAAAAAAAAGAAAAAGAGATTTAATGGACTCACAGGCTGCGGAAGCCTCATAATCATGGCAGAAGGTGAAAGGCACATCTTACATGGCAGCAGGCAAGGTAGAATGAAAGCCAAACAAGGGAAAATCTCTAATAAAACCATCAGATCCCGTGAGACTTATTCACTGCAGCAAGAATAGTATGAAGGAAACTATTCCCCATGATTCAATTATCTCCCACCTGCTCCCTCCCACAATATATGAGAATTATGGGAGCTTCAATTCAAGATGAGATTTGGTTGGGGAGAGCCAGGTGTGGTGGCTCACGCCTGTAATCCCAGGTCTTTGGGAGGCTGAAATGGGCGGATCACCTGAGGTTGGGAGTTCGAGACAAGCCTGACCAATAGGGTGAAACCCCATCTTTAAAAAAAATAATAAATAAATAAAAAGACATTTGGTTGGGGAGTCAGCCAAACCATATCACTTGAGAAGTTTGAAGATTCTTTACCTAAATAGAAAGGATTTTCAAAATTATTTGATTTTGAATTTAAAAGATTGTTTCAAAATCATATTTTATATATAAACATATATTAAAGTCAAATCTGTGTGTTCCAGTATACATTTTTTTTGCATTAATTATTTTTATTTACAGAAACAGTGTACATTTAACCCCGTTTCATGGCAAATTCTTTAGCCTTTGCCTTTTCTAGCTTGGCGATGCGAGCCACAGACTTGGGACCCAGGACATTGCCTCCCCAGTGACGGCGGATCTCATCATATCTGTCATTGTAGTTGGTGCAGATAGCTTCCACCAGCTTGGCCAAAGCACCTTTGTCTTCCGAGTTAACGTGTGTGAAGGTGACAGTGGTGCAGGTCTTCCTGTGGACTAGACGTCCCAGTCTTGCCTTCCCCTTGATGATGCAGTAAGGGACTCCCATTTTATGACAGAGGGCAGGCAAAAAGACAACCAGCTCAATGAGATCCATGTCGTGTGCAATCACCACCAGCTGAGGTTTCTTGTTCTCCACCAAGGTGGTGATGGTGTTAACTCCTGTTTGGTGGTCCAGGGCCTAGGTGAACTGGTTAATTGCAGGGGGCACTTTCAGCCACTTATAGAGGATGGCTCTCTGCCGCTGCAACCTGATATAGCGGGGCCATTTCACAAAGCGGGTGAGGTCTCTTTTGGGCTGGATGTGTTGTCCAATGCCAAAATTTTTAGGCCTTTTCTCAAATAGTGGATTCACCACTTTCTTGGCCTCCTGCTTCTTCACAACAGCAGGGACCGGAGCCACCTTCTTCCCCTTGGCCTTCTTTCCTTTCGGCATCTTGGGCGGCGGGAAGAGAGTCCAGTGTACATTTTTAAAATAAAACCAAATTAGCACATATAGCTTGGAATACAGTTTTTATTTTGACCAACATAAAAATTGTTTTTAAAAAGAGTAAATTGTACCAACAATGAATTCTGTAATTCCTACTAGAAAAGAACATTAAGGCTGGGCGTGGTGACTCATGCCTATAATCCCAACTCTTTGGGAGGCTGAGGTAGGCAAATCACCTGAGGTCAGGAGTTCCAGACCAGCCTGACCAACATGGAGAAACTCTGTCTCTACTAAAAATACAAAATTAGCCAGGCGTGGTAGCACATGCCTGTAATCCCAGCTACTCGGGAGGCTGAGGCAGGAGAATCGCTTGAACCCAGGAGGCGGAGGTTGCAGTGAACCGGGTGCACCATTACACTACAGCCTGGGCAACAAGAGCGAAGCTCCCTCTCAAAAAAAGAAAAAAAAGAAAAGAGAGAAAGAGAGAAAGAGAGAGGGAGAGAAAATGAAAGAAAGAAAGAGAGAGAGAGAGAGAGAAAGAAA